CGGATTGTTGGGGGCAATATGCTGACTCTGTAAACCGCTTAGAGAGGGCTGAAAGCCCTATGAAGCAGTATATAAGTCTAACTGCTACTGCTATTGCTATAAAAAGTGGGGAATTAGCCCTCAGTCGTTGCATAGCTGCAAGAGACCTAGGAATGTGTGCCACCACCCATTCCATGTGACTTTATCTGTTTGTACCCAAGGGAGGGAGAGCAATCTGGAAAGATTCTTCTATTATAGGTAGGATACAATATAGGTAGTCGTAGACTTGTGACCACAATTGAGCCCAAAATTTCTGTTGTTAACGGAGACATTTTTAAGTGAGTTTTGCCCCATTTTATGGCCTTTCTTGCCTTATTAAGTGAATCACTGCAGTTGATAGGTTAACAACCCAGTTGTTAAGTGAATCTGATTTCCCCATTGACTTTGATGGTCAGAAGGTTGCAAAAGGTGATCCCATGACCTTGGGACACCGCAACGGTCATTAAGTATGAAACAGTTGCCAAGTGTCTGAAGTTTGATCTCATGACGATGGGTCGTAACAGTCCTAAGTTCCCTTTTCAGTGTCGTTGTAACTTTGGACAATCACTAACTGAACTGTTGTAAGTCAAGGATTACCTGTAGTTAACTTGAACATTTCACATCTGGATCTGCGTGTTTGCCCTTTACAATTTTATATATACTATACTGCTAACATTTTTGAGTATTTTAAGTTTTCTTGATCCAATGGAAGTTTCAAATTTGTATATATTATTTAAAAAGCAAACGTGTTTATTTTAAGGAGAGATTTATCATTTATTTTCCCCTGGTTCCAAGTCAGTTCTGGAAACAAACCTTTAAAGCTTTGCTTCCTCAACAAACTTTTCTGTAGAAATCTCCCAACCTTATCCATGGGTAAGAGATTCAGCTGATACTTTTTACCAGCGTCCTTCTGGAAACCAAAAACCTTTTAGCATGACTACACAAGCTTTTTCTTGTTGAAATCATACTTTTACCCTAACTCTGACATGCTGGAGATGGGGAAAGAGATGATAATGCTAGAGAAGTGGTCCAGCTCAACTCAACTCAACTCAACTCCAACTCAAGCTAAATTTAATAAAACTTAAATTTCTTACTTACATAAGTAATATCGCCCTCAACTTAACAAGAGTTCATTTAGTGACTGTTCAAAGTTACAATGACACTGAAAAAAAATGAATTATGACCGTTTTTCACATGACCATTGCAGCATCCCCATGGTCACGCGATCAAATTCAGACGCTTGGCAACTGACTCATATTTATGACTGTTCTAGTGTCCCAAAGTCACGTTATCTCCTTTTGCCACCTTTTGACAAGCAAAGTCAATGGGGAAGCCAGTTTCACTTAAGAACCATGTTACTAACTTAACAACTGCAGTGATTCACTTAAAAAAACATGCCAAGAAAGGTCATAAAGTGGGGCAAAATTCACTTAACAACTGTCTCACTTAGCAACAGAAACATTGGGCTCAATTGTAGTAAGTTGAAGACTATCTGCATATTTGCACTAATTGCTCCCTTAAGTTTTAAATATTTGTCTATTTCTGTTCCATAAAAATTATGGGTTGATAGCACTTTTTCAGGGGTTTCTTAGGATCATATCCAAAAGTCTGGAGAACTCCAAGGATCCTCTTGTGTTGTGCATCTTAATTTACAACTAGAATGAACCCTTTTTGAATATATTAGGCATCCCTGACTAAATTGTATATTTCAGTGAAGTCTTAGGTGAACAGAAGCTGGTATACCCTCTCCATGCTACAAAGTTAAACTTTCTTCTTTCTGGAAATTTGAATAGATACGTATTATTTGTGTGGAATTACTTACCAGTTTAGATTAAGAAAACAATGAACATAGCACATAAAAAAGTTTGGATAGCTTTTCAATCAGAACTTTGTAACACTTCCTTTAGTAGAAATAAACAGCTCTTATCTGAGAATGTTTCTGTTCTACTTTTGGCATTTCCCCCCACTCTTCATTACGAACTCTACTAATTCAGAAATTTTCTTGGATCTTACCGGTATGTACATTTTGTCCTTGAGATCTCCCATAGATTTTCACTGCTATTCAAATAGGGACTGTGAAGACCACACTAAAACTTTTGTCTTTTTCCCCCCCTCAGAATAATTTCTTTTTGATTTGAAACATGTTTCAGCCTCTGAATGAAATATTCCGCCCCCTTTTAGCTCAGGATTCTTCATTGATTGTGGACATTAGCTTCTATTTTTATATTTAATTGACTCAACTCTTGAAAAGCACCATAGATGAATGTATATTCATACCCTTGACATTTCCCCTCCCCCACAAAAGAAGAAAGCTAGACCAAAATAATAATAACTTACTAAACTTAATTTCCTTTGTTTGTTTATTATTATATTTATTATATTATATAACGTAAGGCATTCCAGTATAAAATTCATGAACCTACTCTGCATATACAAACCATTCTTCAACATAGAAATTGCTTTCACAAATTGTCACACGTGTAGCAGAAAAGAAAAAAGGGGAGAACTAAGATTGGGATGAAGAAGAAGAAAAAATATTTTTCCAGAGAAGGAGACAAAAAGAGAAAAGGAGAACAATGAAGAATAAATGAAGCAGTAACTGGACCAAAAGAAAGAAGAGAATTGCAAAATATTATATTATATTCACAAGACAATGAGCAAGCAGCAGCAGCAGAGTCTACAGCCATGTTGACCTCCTGCCCATTCCCTTTTTTTTGCCAACAAATTATTCTGTTTTTATCAGCAAGCAAAAGGGTCTGTTTGCCTATCTCAGATTCCCAAGAGCTTTTTTGTCCTGATGAAATGGAGATGAATCCCAGCTGTCCAGCACCATGTTTCTTTCTTTTATACTCTGAACTGAGGAAGCTTCTTGGATGAGAAATGAAGGAGGAAACCAGGAAAGTCCAATTGCCTTTTGAGAAGCACCTGTGGAGCATTGTTGTGAACAGAAAAAAATAAATGTATTGAATTTATATATGCTGGCCAACTTTCAGTGACTTGTAGCAGAGATGGGTATAGCCATTAAGTTCATTGCCTCATGGGTTTATTCCAAGTAACCATTGGGTCAACACATGGACAGAACTGGTAATTATGTGGACCATTTCTTTTTCTAGTTTTCAGGGTTCAGGTCAGTGGTGGGGTTATCTGTTATCTGTCTCTAGTTTTCTTGTGATGCAGTTATGGGTTATCTGAACATGGAGGGCAGTACCTGTATCAAGTTGTGTGTCTTAAATACTTCCTGGTCCAAATGAAATTAACTGCTCTCTAAGACTTCTGTAGAACTGAAGATGAGTGATGAATATGAGAGTTTCCAGAGGACTCTTGGGAAAGTTTCCCAGTGATCAAGCAGTTACCTGTTTATCATTAGGAAGAGACTGGAATCTAAAAGTAATTGCCCCTCAAGCAATTTCTGTAAACGGATGCCGGGTTGCTCTTTGGTTTTCTGAGGAGTTCCAGGAGATAAGACATTACAAGCAATTCCTAGAGCCATGAGGCGAAACTATGGTGGAGCAATTTCTGAGGGCACCTGAGGCGTTGCCCTGTCAGCTCCAGCTGATTTCAGCCTTGATTTTCACCCGTTTTTTGCCTCCCTGAAGCTTCCGGAGGGCGAAAAACAGCCCAATGTGCAAACCAGAAGTTGGAAAACAGGCTGTTTTTAGCCTCTGGGGGGTCTCTGGGGAGGCCGGGGGTGGCATTTTCACCCTCTTCAGGCTCCTAGAAAGCCTCGGGAGCCTGGGGAGGGCGAAAAATGAGTCCACCATGCCATCGGGCACCAAAAGTAGGGAGAGGGCGGGGGGTTGGTTGCACACGCATGCAGGGGAGTTGCGCACATGCACAGGAGGGGTCACACGCATGCGCAGGGGGGGCGCATAGAATTATGGATGTGGACATGCACAACCCCCCCCCCTCACCGCTTTTGCCATGCGATGGCAAAAAGGTTAGCCATCACTGTCCTAGAGCATTGGTGAAGGAAGAATAAAATGAATGTGACTGAACACAACTATGGACTATGGTGATAAAGTGAGGCAATAGCCTTTTCTGAAATTTAGATAGGGGCAGTGCACCACTGGTCCTTTCAGACCTCACAGTAGCCTTTGATACCATCAATTATGGTATCTGCAAGAATTGCAGCTACTGTTTTACAGTGGTTTTGCTTCTTCAGAAGGTGGTTATATTTGTTTGGAGGAGAAGATGAGGCTTGATAGGTGCTACCACCCCTTCTTTAATATTTACATACTAGGAGGAATCATGTAGATTTGGGATGAGATACTTCCAGTTTGCTGATTATATTTAATTATACTTTACCAGGAAGGTTTTGTCTAAGGGCTATCAGAGTGGATGAGAAAAAATGGGCTAAAATTGATCCCTAGAACCTGAAATTGTTTTTTGTTGACCACCTTCTATTAGTTTCAGTGGTCTTTCTTGAAAGAGGTAGCACTATTCTTGAGAGAATAAATCTGTTACGTTGGGGGTGGGGCTTCTGGTTTTCTGTAAAAGCAAATAGAGGTTGTGCCCAGAAGATTTTTGCCCTCTCTGGCTGTTGTGACCTGGAGCAGTTGCTACAGGGAATCATTCTCTCATCATGATGCATATACTGCAATGCATTCCTCATGGGGTTTGACGACCACTCCAAAACTGCAACTGTGCAAGATATAGAGACCTGTGTGTCATACAGTGGGGGTTCTACCAGTTTGGACTGGTTTGGCTGAACGGGTAGTAGCTTGGCAGCTTGGCAACTGGCAGTGACCCAAGCCTCCAACACCCCCAAAGCGGTTCTCCTATGGCGCCACCATCTTGTTTTTTTGCTTCTGCGCATGCACAGAGCAATTTTTGTTGTACTGTGCATGTGTGCACAGTGTGCATCAAATGCGTGCACACGTGTGTGGTGCATCCCTGAGCGAACTGGCAGTTGCGGCTGCCAGAACCCACCTCCGGTGACTTAGGTTTTGAATAGTGTATTTGTGCAATGCAAGTATTGTGGGCCTTGCACTGGCTGCCAGTAGGCTTCCGGATGCAGTTCAGCCTATAAAGGTTTTATATAGGTTGGACTCCATCTGAAACGTGTAGGTTTTAACCTAAAAAATGATAGATGGCATAATACCTTCAGGAGTGTCTCCTCCAATTGGATTCAACCCATCTAAGGTGTCCTTCTCAAGAGCAACTGCTAGTAGTGCTCTATTTCTGAGAAGTGGGCAGGAGATTGTGTTGTGGAGATAATGTTCCTACATGAGAACCTGTTCCTCTGGAATGGTATCCCCATGCAAGTAAGATTGGTTCCATCAATAATAAGCTTCCAGAAGCTACTTGAAATGGAGTTACCCTGGAAGTTTGGGTGAATTGTGAGGGTTGTGTTATTTTAATATAAGCTAATTTTAATTGCATTTTCTGTGGATATTTTCATTGTGATATTTTATAATTGTTGTGAACCTTCAAGAGCTGCAAAATATGATACTATATATATGTAATAAATAAGCCACTGAAAAGATGATCTATTTACATGTAATTTCTATATAATTTTCACTATAGAATTATTCAAAATGCTCAACCTACTGGGCTTGAAAAGATATTAAAAAGAATATTTAGGGTTTTTGTCCTTTCCAATTTCCCTTATTGTGTGCTTGATCAACCAAAATAATATTTGAGCTTCTAAGCAGCAGAGCAGGCTTTGTTCTTTTAATGCAGTAGTTGAATTGAGTTTGGAAGCTATAGTGACTTTGCGATGAATATATCATGTTGTTTTCCTATTTTGCTTTTATCCAAGGAGAATTAAATATAATTATTTTCTTAATTTGCAGCTTTTCCCAAGACGTAAACCTCCAAAAGGCCTTTATATCTATGGTGATGTTGGTAAGTTGAAAGATTTTAACTGAAACATGGCCAATTTTGCTTTAGCATATTTGCACACTTTCCTAGATTTATAGCTAGCTAATAAGCTAACTTTCTTTCCCAATGACAGCAGTGAGATTAAATAGAACAAAGCACCCTGGGCTAAGGTACTAATGACCTGTATTTAGTTTGCTTTGACATTACAGAGCAAATCAAGGCTCAGAGCAATGTCAGCTAATGAAATGGATCAACATGTATGCTTTGTGATACGAGATCCTTGGACCCTGCCAGAGCCTTGATTGCATATGGCAGGGAGGGCACTTGTTTTGATGCCCTTGTTATGTGGAAGGGGAATGCTGGTTGAGTTGAATACTTGGTCTGACCGAAAGATGTATTTATGACTAATCTATTTTTAAAAAAAGAACGGAGGTATTCTCATTTATTTTTAGTGAATATTGTTCGGTGTATTTCGGATAGGAACAATAATTGCATTTGTTGATTTTGATATAGATTCATATAATACAAATGATCCTGCCCATGTTAGTTGAAGTCTTGCTTCAAAGATAATGATTTTGTACTGTTCAGATCACGATTATGATTTCATTAGCTCAATGCTAATGAACAGTCATTACTGTAATCAGTACATAGTGTTTTAAATTAACAACCTGTTGGGTATGTGTGTTTTTATTTGAAGGCACAGGAAAGACAATGGTGATGGACATATTTTATTCTCATCTACTAGTAGAAAGAAAAAAGAGAGTCCATTTCCATGGCTTCATGCTTGATGTGCATAAAAGTAAGTTTCAATCTTTCTGGTAGTATACAGTATGTTACAGGTATCTTCCATGTTATCTGTCACCCTGTTTCTTCTTAGTTCCTTGTCTGGCGCCCTCTGCAAGACTGCCAGTTGAAAGATGAAAAGAAAGGAATTAACATAGACTGTATGGGGAAATTTCCAACCTGATTTTTCAGTTAGAATAGAGCTGTCTTGCAACACCCCTTGGAATTAATTGAGGGAAAACATTGAAGGATTTGAGTTAGTAGGCTTCATTTTCCTTGAGTGAGTAAGTACCAGTGGACAGTCAATCATTTAATTCATTGGTACTTATTTTCATTTAAAAATTCAGAGCATCTGCTGGAAAGTGGTGAGCTGTGGTCTTGCGACAATTATAGAGAGAGATTGAATAATATTGTGAAAATACTTAACCCTTTTACAATAGTCAGCAGCAGCAAGTGAAGAGTGAACTTGTGTTGTAATGTATCCGTTGGTCTTTCAGTTGCCATAAGACCCTGATTTAAAAGTTGAATAGCAAAAAGATGTCATGTCAAATTGAAGGTGGAACAGGATAGGAAAAGGTAACCGAAAGAGAGTGACTGATTTCCACCAACTGCTGTATATGTGTGTGTGTGCGTGTGTGTGTGTGTGTGTACAAAAACACACACACACACACGCACACACAGACAGACAATTAGAACAGTGTTCTGATTATTGGCTGAATTCTTGTGATATCATAGAATATTTACATATATTGTATCAGCATTTGTGAACCTAAACAAGGGGAAAGTTAGTATGGACCAAAACTTGAACTTGTCCTTCTCAGTGTCAGAAAAAAAGTATTTTCCATAATGAACTCTCCAGTAAACGTCGTCTTTGCAAATATACAGATTTTTTGCATAATAAATGGTATAATAAATGAAATAGATGGTACAATGTATATGTTGTTCACTTATTTAGAAACTACAGGTGAAGATTTAATTAGCTATTTTAATATACAAAGATCTATTTTCCATTATATTAACATTTAATCTTTAAAGCTTCCTACTCTTTTGTAAGCTTTCTCTGTTTCTCCTTTATTTCCTTGTTCTCATTTCTTTATATTTGCTCTAGTCCGTGAACTTACATTTGTTTCTCAATAGTATATAGCAATCTCATGGACTATGGACTATGTGCTTTTAATATATAGTTATAGAGAGGAGGAAACCAAACTGAATAATATGTGTTGTTGGATAATATCTTGACCCCCTTTATGATCGTCTGTATACATTGCAAAGAGGCAAAAAGCTGTGAGGTGCTGCATGAATCAAGGCCGCCCACTGAAGATGCTTTGTAGTTGTCATTGTTTTTCTAAAAATTGAAAGAACGGAATTAGCACAGAATTACTGCGATAAAAGTTACTTCTATTAACATGTAAATATAATCTTTGTTTTGAGTCTATTTCCAACATGTTTACTAAGTATCTTGCAAAATGTTCACTTCAGGAATACATTGCCTTAAACAGAGTCTGCCAAAACGAAAAGCTGGATTAATGGCTAAATCATATGATCCAATAGCTCCTATAGCCGATGAAATAAGTGAGGAAGCTTGTCTCTTGTGTTTTGATGAATTTCAGGTAAGTAAGAATATAAGAGATACACATTCCTCTCTTTATGGAAAAAATAACATGTCTGGTAGCAATATTTTGTATGGTTATTAACTTTCTATGCTGTAGTTGTTTTTTAAAAACATTATCTCATTGAAGCATTTATTTATTCGTATGCATGGAGCAGCAAAATTTGTCACAGTTAATATGATCTTGAATGCATAAGATCTCAGATGCACGTAGATAGCATTGTTATATCAGTGCTAACTGCTAAACTGGAATCTCTTTTAAAAAAAATACGCAGTCTGGTTTATATTACACCTACATTCAGTTTTAAAATATTGTTTAATCATACATTCTGCATACACAACACACTGTATTTCTGTATATCTAAATAAGTGTGTCTATGTTATTAGAATGTATTGTATTTCTATGCGTACACATACATATGGACATACAGATATACATGCATATATACACACACCATTCGTATTACCATTTGTCCAATTGTCTTTCTTTTAATCATATATTTTGGAAATATTTGAGCTCCTATACTTTATCCACATTCTCATAGATTCTGACCTATGTTGCTCCAGATTAAAACCGTCAGTGTAAGTAAAGATTTAATATGTACATGTAACCTTCTCAATAGTCAAAACTTCATTCGGAGTAGACATTCATAGGTTATTTATGTATTTATATTATTTTGCTTGTTTTCTTTTAAAAATAAAATGGGTTAATTAAATCCTACAAGATTTAGAAATTAAAATCATAAAGCAGCACCCATTGTAACACATCTTCATGGTCTGGCTTCAGATAGATGAATGTCCCGGTTTTGGGGAATGTGCAGAAAAGATCAGCTAGTTGGAGAAATAATGTGGCAACTGTCATAGGATTCAATATGGTCACTTTTAATTTGTGGACAAAACTATAAGTTACTTTTTCATATGCTAAACCTTTATTTAAGATGAAAGAAATCGCTATATAGAAAAGAATTGGAACCAGGAAATGCTTAACCCATTCTGTGCCCTGCGATATGGAAAAATAAATTACAAACAATGGGGGCAAGCAAATTTATAGAAGAAAATAAGAGCGTAAAGCTACTCTGGCTAAGCCCTAGGAGGAAGATGAGAAATAAAGTAAAATAAAATAAATAAATCTGCTGGAATTATTAAAAAGGAAACATCCCAGTGGAGAGTAGCTTTTTTTTGGGGGGGGG